GCCCCATGGGATTGGGGTCACCGCAATGGGATCGGCCCCATGGGATTGGGGTCACTGCAATGGGATCATCCCTTGGGGCTGGGAGTGCCCGTTGGGCCGCTGGGCCCGAGGCTCACAATGGCCACGGCCGGACGGCTGCGATCGGGATGGCCTGTGGGGAAATGGGGTCGGTAGGGAATGGGGTCACCCCATTGGGATGGGGTCATCATAATGGGATTGACCCTTGTGGGGTGGGATCAGTCCATTGGGATTGATTCCTCTGGGATAGGGTCGGTCGATTGGGATTGACCCCTTTTTGGTGGGATCAGCCCATTGGGATTGACGCCTTTGGGATGGGATTATCCCATTGGGATCAGCTCTGTGGGATGGGGCCACCCCATTGGGATTGACCTCTCTGGGGTGGGATTATCCTATTGGGATCGGCCCCTTTGGGGTGCAATCACTGCATTGGGATCGGCCCTCTGGAATGGGATCATCCCATTGGGATTGATCCCTTTGGGATGGGATCATCCCATTCAGAGGGGATCACTCAATTGGGATTGACCCCTTTGGGGTGAGATCATCCCATTGGGATTGGCCCCTTTTGAGACAGGATCATGCCATTGGGATCAGCCCCCAGAATGGGATCATCCCATTGGGATTGGCCCCTTTTGAGATGGGATCATGCCACTGGGATCAGCCCCTCTGGGGTGGGATCATCCCATTGGGATCGGCCCCTTCTGGGATTTCTCCCCAAATAAAACTGCGATCCCTCCCTAATGGAACATTGGGACCTCGCCCTAAAAAACACTGGGATCGTTTCTAAATAACATTGGGATCTCTCCCTAAAAAACATCGGGATCCTTCCCTAAATAACATTGGGATCCCTCCCTAAAGGAACACTGGGATCCCTTTTTACTAAAATATTGCAATCCTTCCCTAAAATCCACTGAAATTCTTCCCTCTTGGAACACCGGGATTGTTTTTCCATTCCAGAGGATCCCAAATCCCGGGGAATCACAAATTCTGGGGTAAACCCCAATTCCAGGGAATCCCAACCGCTGCGGGAAAACCCCAGGCTTAAGGAATTCCAGATTTTGGGGGAACTCCAATCTTAAGGAATCCCAAATTCTGGGGGATCTCTGGCTCTGGTCAGAGATCAAAACTCCAACTGAAAAGGGGGGAAAGACCCCAGAAATGGGGAGGGGGCAGAAAATCCCCCAGAACGAGGGTGAAGACCCCAATAATAGGGAAGGGATGGAAAACTCGTCCCGGGGAAAGACTCCAAAAATGGGGAAGGGGACGGAAAACCGGTCCAGAACGGGGATCTCCCCAAAAACGAAGCAGCGCCGCTCCCCTCGGCCAAAACCGGGCCAGGCCCCGACCCCTCCGAGAGCTCCCGGCGCTCCCAACCCCGAACCCACCGGGACGAGGCGACCCCGACCCCTCAGAGGCCCCAAACCCCCTCCCCAAATCCCCGCCCGCGGGGGTCCCGCCCTCGCCCTCAGCGCACCGGGCCCGGCCCGGCCCGGCCCCTCGCGGTTCTCCGCGGTTCCCGGTGCCGCCCCCGCGCCGGTGCCGCCCCCGGAGCGTCCCCCGGGCCCCGCCGGTACCTCCGGGCTGTCCCCGGTACCTCCGGGCCCTCCCGGCGCGGCCCCGAGCGCACAAACAGCGGCTCCGCCAAGCCCTCACGGCGGGGGCGGGACTACGCGGGGCCGCAGCCAATCAGCGCCGAGCCCGCCTCCGCGCTCAGCCAATGGGAGAGGAGAATAACACTGCCCCGCCCCGCTGAACCAATGGGAGCGGGGGAAAGGGAGACGGACAGCGGAAAAGCCAATGGGAGACAAGGGAATGAGTGGCCAATGGGGAAGAAGAAACGCAACGCAGAGGCGGGGTTTGGGATGAATGACGGGGCTGGCGGCCAATGGAAACGGGCGCAGCGCAGGTGGGCGGAACCGACAACAAATAAGGTGACCTAAGGGGGCGGAGCCCAGCGGCGGAAGCAGCCAATGGGAAGGCGGGAAAGCTGAGGTTTCACCCAATCGGAGGAAGCGCTCGCTCTGATTGACAGCGGAGGCCGCCGGGAGCGCTCGCGATGGTGGGCGGGGCCTGGGCGGACCAATCAGGGATCTCCAAGGGCGCGCTGGGTGCGGTCACAAAGGGCGTGGCTTCGGCGCGGGGGCGTGGCCTGGGGCGCGGGGGGGAGGGGGGATTTTGGGGACAAATTTGGGGGAAGGGGACAGGACAGACCCGGAGGTGACAACGACACCGTGACCCCTCCCCCCACAACAAACCAGCCTGGGAAATTTCGCTACAAAATCTGCAGAAATTACAAAAAAATCAGCTCCAAAAATCGCCGAGGGAGGGGTGGGGACAAAGACGGGGGAGGGGACACGATGGGGGGCACAAGGGGACATCGAGGAGGTGGCATTTGGGTGGGGGGGCACCCTGTAAGTGCCAACAATCCAAGGGGGGGTGGCCCTGGGGACCTTCCTGTCCCCAAGAGGGGTCCTGGGGACATTCTGGGGGGAGGTTGGGGACATTTGGGGACATTTCGGGGGTGTCAGAGGCGCAGGTGGGGGACAGCTCTGGTGACATCGCGGAAGAAGGGGTGGCCCAGGGCGGCCTTGGCCGAGATTCGCTTGTTGGGGTCGTAGTGCAGCATTTGCTGGGGAGAAAAAAGGGAAAAATGGGAAAAAAATGGGGTTAAATGGGGGGGTCAGGGACAGGGACAGCAACCCCCAAAGCCCCCTGGGTGGGGAAGGGAAGAAAGGCGGGGGAAATGGGAAAAAGTGGGAAAAAATGGGNTGGGGAGAAAAAAGGGGAAAACGGGAAAAAATGGGGTTAAACGGGTAAAAAATGGGGTTAAATGGGGAAAAAATGGGGTTAAATGGGGAAAAAATGGGGTTAAATGGGGAAAAAATGGGGTTAAACGGGGGGGTCGGGGGGGGAGAGCGATCCCCAAAACCCCCCCGGGGTGGGGAAGCGGAAAAAGGGGGAAAATGGGGAAAAATGGGGAAAAAGTGGTGGAAAAATGTAGAAAATGAGAAAATACAGGGGAAAAAGGAGGAAAAAAGGAGGAAAAATGAGGGAAAAGGAGGGAAAAGGAGAAAAAAGGAGGGAAAAGAAGGAGAAAAGGAAAAAGGATTCAAGGGTGGGTTCAAGGAGAAAAAGGGGAAAAAGGTGGAAAAAGAAGGAGGAAAGAAGGCTGGAAAACACGAGAAAAAATGGGAAAAAGTGGCAAAAACAGGGAAAAAAGGTAGAAAAAAAGGAGGAAAGAAGGGTGGAAAACACGAGAAAAAATGGGAAAAAGTGGCAAAAAAATGGGGAAAAAAGGTCGGAAAAGGTGGAGAAAAAGGAGGAAAAATCAGGAAAAATTGGGAAAAATCAGGAAAAATGGGGGAAAGGGCCCAAAATTACCGCCAGCAGCTTGCGGCCCTCCTCGTCCAGCGGYGGCAGCACCTTGGCCAGGTCCTGGCGTGCCCAGCGGGGGAAGGTGGCTTTGTAATCGGGCAGCGCCGACACCCCCGGCCACGCCGCCTCGTCCGGGGTGCCCAACGTGCGGAAAATGCGGAACAGCTGGTCGATCTCGGAATCACCGGGAAACAGGGCGCGGCGGGTGATCTGGGGACAGTGGGGACACTCAGGGAACACTCAGGGGACACTCAGGGGACATTGGGGACACTCAGGGGACAGTCAGGGGACAGCGGGGACATTGGGGACATTGGGGTCAATCTCGGAATCACCGGGAAACAGGGCGCGGCGGGTGATCTGGGGACAGTGGGGACACTCAGGGGACATTGGGGACATTGGGGACACTCAGGGGACAGTGGGGACATTGGGGACATTGGGATCATTGGAAAATCCGGAACAGCTGATCGATCTCGGAATCACCGGGAAACAGGGCGCGGCGGGTGATCTGGGGACAGTGGGGACACTCAGGGGACACTCAGGGGACAGTCAGGGGACATTGGGGACATTGGGGTCAATCTCGGAATTGCTGGGAAACAGGGCACGGCGGGTGATCTGGGGACAGTGGGGACACTCAGGGGACATTGGGGACATTGGGGACATTGGGGACCCTCAGGGTCACAGGGACATTGGGGACAGTGGGGACACTCGGAGACATTGGGGACACTCAAGGGTCGATCTCGGAATCGCCGGGAACAGGGCACGGCGGGTGATCTGGGGACAGTGGGGACACTCAGGGGACATTGGGGACAATGGGGACACTCAGGGGACAGCGGGGACACCCTTAGGGTCATTGGGACATTGGGGACATTGTGACATTGGGGTCGATCTCGGAATCACCGGGAAACAGGGCACGGCGGGTGATCTGGGGACAGTGGGGACATTGTGACATTGGGGACATTGGGGACGTTGGGGACAATGGGGAGAGTCAGGGGATATTGGGGTCAATCTCGCAATCACCCGGGAACAGGGCACGGCGGGTGATCTGGGGACATTGGGGACATTGGGGACACCCTCAGGGTCACAGGGACATTGGGGACAGTGGGGACACTCAGGGGAATTGGGAACACAGGGGTCAATCTTGGAATCGCCGGGAAACAGGGCACGGCAGGTGATCTGGGGACAGTGGGGACACTCAGGGGACACTCAGGGGACATTGGGGACATTGGGATCATTGGAAAATGAGGAACAGCTGGTCGATCTCGGAATCACCGGGAAACAGGGCGCGGCGGGTGATCTGGGGACAGTGGGGACACTCAGGGGACATTGGGCACATTGGGGACATTGGGGACCCTCAGGGTCACAGGGACATTGGGGACATTCGGAGACATTGGGGACACTGTGACATTGGGGTCAATCTCCCAGGAATCGCCTGGGAACAGGGCTCGGCGGGTGATCTGGGGACATTGGGGACACTCAGGGGACATTGGGGACATTGGGCACATTGGGGACACTCAGGGGACATTGGGGACACTCAGGGGACATTGGGGACAATGGGGACAATGGGGACACTCAGGGGACATTGAGGACAGTGGGGACACTCAGGGGACACTGAGGGGACAGTCAGGGGACATTGGGGACACTCAGGGGACATTGGGGACAATGGGGACACTCAGGGGACATTGGGGACAGTGGGGACACTCACGGGACAGTCAGGGGACAGTCAGGGGACATTGGGGTCAATCTCGGAATCACCGGGAAACAGCGCACGGCAGGTGATCTGGGGACAGTGGGGACATTCGGGACACTCAGGGGACATTGGAGACATTGGGGACACTCAGGGGACAGCGGGGACACCCTCAGGGTCACTGGGACATTGGGGACATTGTGACATTGGGGACACTCAGGGGACAGTCAGGGGTCAATCTTGGAATCACCCGGAAACAGGGCTCAGCGGGTGATCTGGGGACATTGGGGACAGAGGGGACACTCAGGGGACATTGGGGACAATGGGGACACTCAGGGGACATTGGGGACAATCTTGGAATCACCCGGGAAGAGGGCACGGTGGGTGACCTGGGCACACTGGGGACATTGGGCACATTGGGGACAGTCAGGGGACATTGGGGACACTCGGAGACAATGGGGACACTCAGGGAACATTGGGGACATTGGGGACACTCAGGGAACATTGTGGACATTGGGGTCAATCTTTGAATCACCCTGGAACAGGGCGCGGCGGATGATCTGGGGACACTGGGGACAGAGGGGACACTGGGGACTCTCAGAGGACAGGGTGACACTGGAAACACTCCAGTCCCCATTGTCACCTAGTGTTACCCAATGTCCCCAGGGTGTCCCCAGGGTGTCCCCAAGGTGTCCCCAGTGTCACCCAGTGTCACCCACCATCTCGGCGAAGATGCAGCCCAGGCTCCAGATGTCCACGGCCGTGCTGTAGAATTTGCAGCCCAGGAGGATCTCGGGGGCGCGGTACCAGAGGGTGACAACCTGGGGACATTGGGGACACTCAGGGGACATTGGGGGATTGGGGACATTGGGGACACTCAGGGGACATTGGGGGATTGGGGACATTGGGGACACTCAGGGGACATTGGGGATATTGAGGGGACATTGAGGACACACCTCATGCATGTAGGTCTGGACAGGGACCCCAAAAGCCCTAAATCTGCCCAAAACCCACTCCAAATCCCCCAAATTTTCCCCAAATCCACCCCAAATCCCATCCCAAACTCCACCGTGTGTGTGTAGGTTCTCACAGGAACCCCAAACGCCCGGGCCAGCCCGAAATCTGCCCCAAATCCAGCCTGAATCACCCCAAATCCCAATCAAACCCCACCTCTTGGGTGCATGTTCTCACAGCGACCCCAAACACCCGGGCCAGCCCGAAATCTGCCCCAAATCCACCCCAAATCCACTCTAAATCCCCTCAAACCACCCCAAATCTCACAAATCCCAATCAAACCCTGCCTAAATCACCCCAAACCCACCCCAAAGCCCCTAAACCCCACCTCAAAGCCCACCTCAAGTGTGTAGGTCCGGACAGGGACCCCAAAAGGACAGGCCAGCCCAAAATTGGCCCCAAATCCCCCAAATTTCCCCCAAACGCACCCCAAATCCAGCCTGAATCACCCCAAACCTCCTTTAAATCACCCCAAACCCACCCCAAAGTCTCTAAATCCCACCCCAAAGCCTACCTCGTGTGTGTAGGTCCGGACAGAAACCCCAAAAGCACGGGCCAGCCCAAAATCGGCCCCAAATCAACTCCAAATCCCCCAAATTTCCCCCAAATCCAGCCTGAATCACCCCAAACCCCCCGTAAATCACCCCAAACCCACCCCAAAGTCTCTAAATCCCACCCCAAAGCCTACCTCGTGTGTGTAGGTCCGGACAGGGACCCCAAAAGCACAGGCCAGCCCAAAATCGGCCCCAAATCCACCCCAAATCCCCCAAATTTCCCCTAAATCCAGCCTGAATCACCCCAAACCCCGTATAAATCACCCCAAACCCACCCCAAAGCCCC